TGGCCTCCAGGGATATAAAGATTACTGTAATTTAGACTGATAGAAAATATCACAGTCAACTATGATATAAGCCAGTAAATGAAGCTGACAATTGCCTTAACACCTTTACCAAAAGGGGTATATTAAATGGGGCTGGGGACATTTTATTAAATATTACCATTAGAAAATCCGGTTATGGGGAAAAACTAACTAAGCTCACACATTGAATACATTTTTTTAACATATATATCCTCTGTCAGTTTCAAAGGAGGGCCACAAGGAACCTCATCTGCGAGAATCTGAATGGCGCGATAGCCTGTCACACCTTCCTATGCTTGCTGTCTGTGAGTCTTTATAAGGTCTGTGGTATGGGCAAGCAAATTGATTAGTAAACAATGCTAACAAGCAACAGGTCACAACTTGGGACCACATCCAAACCAAGTTTGATGAATGCGTGCCTCTGATGACCAAATCCATCAGAGGCACGCATTCCTATTGTTAACTTGATCTTTCACCTTGAAGACAAATTCCAATAGTCAAAGAAATAACAGTCATCTCTTACTGAGCTCTGTCCTGTATGTACAGTCATGGTTTCAGTGCCCTGCATACATAATTTATAATCCCCAGAAAATTCGTTAAGTTTTCTTTTCTCCATTATATAGATGAGGAAAACCAAGGCACAGAGATTTTAAATGGTTGTGCAGGACCATTGAGTTAGTAGTGGCCGACCCAGCATCCACACTTGAGTTTTTCAAGCACAAACTGTTCTAGCTCTATACTTTGATGCTTTGTTCCTATTAGTAGTTATAAGGTAAGATCCTCAGTGTTAATGACAATCAGTGTCTTGTTTAGAAAGCAACTAATAAATGGTAAATGGCTTCTTCTCTGTTTGTGAATAATACATTATAGCATATTATTTCTTTCCAGTAGCTTTGATAATTTGTTATTCAAAGTGATTTGTCTCAGTTTTCTATTTCTGTGTCACAAATTAACCCCTAACACAGCAGCTTACAGCATTTATAATCTTACAATTTCTAAGTGTGGCTTTGAAATCTAAATGTGGCTTAGCTGGGCGCCTCTGGCTCATAAAGTTGTAGCTAAGCATCAGGTTGGGGCTGTGTCTTATCTGAAGGCTCAACTATTTGGGGAGTGTGGGGAAAATCTACCTCCAGTCTCATTCATGCGGTCCTTTAATAGGTGAGCCTCATGTCACAGCAGCTGGTTTCACCCAGGTAAGTGAACCAATAAATAACAAGAGACAGAACACTCAGGACAGAAGATGCAGTCTTTTATAACGTAACCTAAGTGAGATTCTCATTTCTTGTGCTGTATTCTGTTCATTAAAACATTAAAAGTGAATCAATGAGTTCAGATTATTTTATTTTATTTTATTTTATTTTTTTTTTTTACAGAGTCTTGCCCTGTCACCCAGGCTGGAGTGTAGTGTCGCGATCTCTGGTCACCGCAACTTCCGCTTCCCAGGTTCAAGTGATTCTCCTGCCTCAGCCTCCTGAGTAGCTGGGATTACAGGTGCACGCCACCGCATCCAGCTAATTTTTGTATTTTTATTAGAGATGAGGTTTCACCATGTTGGCCAGGCTGGTCTCGAACACCTGACCTCAGGTGATCCACCCACCTCGGCCTCCCAAAGTGCTGGGATTACAGGCCTCAGCCACTGCACCCAGCCTGGATTATTCTTAAAAGGAGTAGATTATATAGAGAAATACATAGCAGAAAGCAAGGATCACTGGAGATTATTTTAGAAACTGCCTATCACATGATTTAACATCATTGTTCTGAAAATAGAGGATTATTATATATTCCCAAATTTTCTAAAATTTCAGAATCGTTATAGTCAGGACACTAGTATCAACAAACAGAATGTCAGCTTATTATGGTTTAAACAAAAATGAAAATTTATTGACTCAGGTAACTCAAAAGTCTATATAGTGGGACTACCTTCTGACTGATTACATTGAATGAATATTAGTAGGATGTCGTCTGTCACTCCTCTCTTTGGTTTTACTTTCTTCTGTGTGGCTTTATCTTTTGGCAGGCTCACTCTACATCGTGTAAAGACTAACCTTAGCAACCCCGGGGAATATGATTTGTGGTGGTCATTATGTCTTTGTAAAGAGTCCCAACCAACACTTTCATTAAACCTCATGCTCATTTCTGGATAGAAAGATAAAGTCCTTTGAGTAGCTAGGACTATGTAATGTTCCATCCCTGTTGTGGGGGTGTGGTTACTCCTACAACAATCATATAAACCAGGTGTTGTAGGGAGATTTGACTCCAAAAAAAAAGTTACAGGAAGAAGGGATCATATTATGGGTAAATAAAAATAAAAATAAAGAAACAAGTAAATAAAAAAATAACCACAGTGTTATGAGCTGAATTACGTACCTCTCAAATTCATATGTTGAAGCCTCAGTCCTCAACGTGACTATATCTAGAGACAGGGCCTTTGTGGAGGCAGTTAAGTTTACATGAAGTAATAAAGGTGGATCTCCAATCCAGCAGAGCTGAGGAAGGGACACTGGAGTGCTCTCTTTCTCTCAGCACACACACAAAGGAAGGGACATGTGAGGACACAGCAGGGAGGCAGCATCTGCATGCTAGGAAGAGATCCCTCACCAGAAATTTTAATTGCCAACACCTCGATCATGAACTTCTAGCCTCCAGAACTGTGAGAAAGTAAATTTCTATTGTCACTCAGCCTGTGGTTTTTTGTTATGGCATCCCAAGCAGACTAATACACATCATATGATTTCAGCAACTTTTTGATACTGTGCAGAAAAGCACACTTAAAATTTTGGTTTTAATAATTATAGCCTGTTGGACTTGATGATTACAAGAATATTTTTCTATTCTATGTAAAATTCTGTTGTGTTCAGTAACAAATTACTCCAAACCAAATAAAATAAAACAGCAGAAATGTATTCTCTCACAGTTCAGGAGGTCAGAAGTGCAAACTCAGAGTTTTGCAGGCTTGGTTTCTTCTGGAGGGTCTGGAGGAAATTGTTACAGACATCTCTCGCCGCTGCTGGTGGTTGCCACCATCCTTGGTATTCCTTGGCTTGAAGTTGCATCACTCCAATCTCTGCCTCCATCATTGCATTGCCCTCTTCCCTGCTTGTGTCTCTGTATATCTCTCCACTACTTTTAAGGACACCAATCAGTGGATTACGGACCACCCCAATCTAGTATGAGCTCATGTTAATGTGATTATACCTGCAAAGACCCTTTTTTCAGATAAGGTCACATTCACAGTTACTGAAGTTATGAGTTCAGCATACCTTACTGGGAAGTGTAATTCATCCACAATACTTTAAGTTTCTTCAAAAAAAAAAAAAAATCATGTTAACACTGGGTAGCATTTTCTTCCAGCTCCCAACATTTCACTTTATTGATTCTTATGAATAAATAAGAATAATTTATAAAAGGAAGTTTAAAAATAATTATTTAATGATGACTTCCACTGTGTTAATCCAACATTTTATGAATAAATCTCACATTATCACGAGTTTCTTATTAGAAGTGTGCTGTCAACACAAACTGTTAAAATTTATTTACTCACTTTCTAATTCATACTTACCAAATGATCTTCTTTTCCTACCATTGCACAGCCTGTAACTTGGTCTAGGTGTTACATGTTTAATATCACTCCACTGTGCTGAGGAAACTTGTTTAAACAAGTCACAAAGCTATGACACAGGGCAGAGCACTAAGGCAAAAACATTTTCAGTTTCTTCCATTTAAAGTCATGATGGTGTTTACAATTGCAGGCAAACTACAGGTTGTTTTACGTGTTAGGTCATTATTCTCCCACAGACCTTCCAAATCATATTCTGGATAAAAGCTGTAAAATTCCAGCCTCCACAATGACATTGTACCTACATATGAAATTCTTTGCCTGCCCTGGTTTGACAGCTGGTCTGGAACTGAGGATTTGTGTTTTGTTGTTTTTCTTTCAACAAGACCAATAGTTTCTTATCATATTTCTCCTAGCACTGGAAATTTGAGATACATTTTCAACATGTTAACTTAAAATATTTTTGTTTGCTCCTGTACAGTGCCAAACCAGACATTTTAAATTTATATTAAAAAAAGGAACAAGTAGGTATTACCCAATGGAATGATTTTTGTCTTTCTAATATTCTTTAATTTTTCCATTCTATTAGCCTGAATACCCTAGAATACAGAGTGTGAACCAAAACTTATACACAAATGTTCTCTGGTGGGGGTAGGGTAGCTATGTGCAAAGGCAATAAGAATGAAGAAAAAAGGAAAATGAGGGAAGAAACGTGGGGTGGGCATGAATCCAGCAGTCAGTAATTTCACAGGAAAATGCAATAAATGGTTTTATCATATAGGATATCTCTGGAAAAGTCTGATGAAATCACTATATGTGGGAGCTCTTAGGTGGAGATGGGCATGAGGTAGAAGCAGCACAGGTTCTGCTTCTGATGGTTCAGCTGTCTCTCACTGGTCAGAGCCCACTCCAGCGGTATGAGCTTACCCAAGTTCCTGGGTTGCATTGCCCAGCTCTTCCACTCGTCCACTCAGGCAATAGAGAAGCCACAGTCATCAAAGCTCCGACCTGGCCAGAGGTTAGGAACAATGGTTTCTACTTGCTGCGTAGAGCCTTATGGATCTGTAGTGGTGATGGTAGTAGTTGGACTTTATCACCCAAGAAATTGTGTGAGCTAAAGCTAGGGCTCTTCAGGCTAAGAACAAGGACAGGGAGTTGAGAGTAGCCTACTGAGTAGCACATAATTTGGGACTGCTGAACTCACACAGTTATAGATATTTTGACCTGTGAAAGAATCACTAATTTATATGACTGCACTCACCTTTAAAGACCATTTATTCCAAATGCGACTAAAACTATGAAGAGATATTTCTACTTATGGTAAAAATGGACTAACAGGGACATGATTTACCCTCTTATCTGAAACAATCCCCCTAGAAGGACAGGGATATCTGAGAGTGTGTAAGAAAGGAAAAAAAAGCCCGGGCTGAGTCGCCGCCACCGGCAGGTCTGAGCTGCGGGCCGAGGCGGCGCCGCCGCTGCCGCAGGGTGCGCGATGCCTTGAACCTGGGAAACTATGTGAAGCAACACTCTTTCTGGATTTTGAAAGACATCATTTCATCATGGGACAGCAAATTTCGGATCAGACACAGTTGGTTATTAACAAGTTACCAGAAAAAGTAGCAAAACATGTTACATTGGTTCGAGAAAGTGGCTCCTTAACTTATGAAGAATTTCTTGGGAGAGTAGCTGAGCTTAATGATGTAACTGCTAAAGTGGCTTCTGGCCAGGAAAAACATCTTCTCTTTGAGGTACAACCTGGGTCTGATTCCTCTGCTTTTTGGAAAGTGGTTGTACGGGTGGTCTGTACCAAGATTAACAAAAGCAGTGGCATTGTGGAGGCATCACGGATCATGAACTTATACCAGTTTATTCAACTTTATAAAGATATCACAAGTCAAGCAGCAGGAGTGTTGGCACAGAGCTCCACTTCTGAAGAACCCGATGAAAACTCATCCTCTGTAACATCTTGTCAGGCTAGTCTTTGGATGGGAAGGGTGAAGCAGCTGACCGATGAGGAGGAGTGTTGTATCTGCATGGATGGGCGGGCTGACCTCATCCTGCCTTGTGCTCACAGCTTTTGTCAGAAGTGTATTGATAAATGGAGTGATCGACACAGGAATTGCCCTATTTGTCGCCTACAGATGACTGGAGCAAATGAATCTTGGGTGGTATCAGATGCACCTACTGAAGATGATATGGCTAACTATATTCTTAACATGGCTGATGAGGCAGGCCAGCCCCACAGGCCATGACCTTGGAGTGAAAGTCTTCTGTTGCTATTGTGCGCTACAAATATTTGGTCATGGGGGAAGAATGCAGGGTTATGGCACAGACACAGAAAAAATCCATTTTGCCCACTCTTTTATTTTTGCTATTCTGATCATTTGTGCCCCTTTTAAAAATAAACTTCCCATGTCTTCCAAAAAAAAAAAAAAAAAAGGTGAGCCCAATGCATGCCAACACTTACTTCCTTAAGAGAGTTTCTAGGCCAATGGGGAGAAAACTAGTAGAATACCTGTAGATCTCCTGTGTAGGGAGATAGAGCTCAGAGTATGGGTGGACCGAGGCAGGTAGAGTTTGAAGGACTGAGTACCAAACAGAAGAGAGCAACAGAGAGAAAACTCTAGAAATCTGTAAAAGATACCCCTTGAATTCTGCAGCTGAATACTGACTAACAAGTGTATGCAAAAAGGTTGCCCAAGGTTGAGGAATCAACTGATAGTATTAGAAGTAACAGTGTACCACCAGTCAGATTAGAAAACCCCATAATTTAAAGGTGATTTGGTAGAGTACACAAAACAGACTTGCCTGCGTAGTGAGATTATTTAGTACTAGATTAAGCACTGCTCTGACTCTGTCTAACAAATCATAAAAGTAAGATCAAAAGGGAATAAATCATTTCCAAGTAACTTAACTGCATTATAGAACAAGGCTAAGGAATATTTACATGAAAACAAAAATATCCAACACTCATTGAAGTAAAATTCGCAATGACTAGCAAAACAATGTTTCAAATATTATAGGCTTGTAAAGAAGTAAAAAAGTGCAAGCCACATTGAGGACAAAACGCAATATATTGAAATGGGTCCAGAACTAATACAAATGTTAAAATTAGCAAACAAGGGCACTAACACTCTTATTATAGACAGTTTACATATGTTCAAAAGTTAAATAGAGACATGAAAGATGTCTTTATTTGGTAGAGAATTAGTACTTCTATTTGGTTTTAAAACCTACCCAATTTGAACGTTTAAATATAACAACTGATTTGTGAGAAGAAAAATACCCTAGGTGGAATGAAGCAATTTAGAAATTGTAGACGGGAATATTAGTGAACTTGAAGAGATAGCAGTAGAAACTATCAAAAAATGGAACTCTGAAGAAAAAAGAATAATAAATAGAGAAGACCAGTGATCTTTGGAACAATTTCTGGAAGTCTACTAATATGTAATTAGAGTCTCTAAAGTATATTCCATTATTTGAAGAAAAAAGTGACTGAAAAATTTCCAGAATCCTCACATATGAAAAGTTTAATGAGCCCCAAGTACAAGAAATATAAAGAAAACTGTACCAAAGCGTATTATAATCAAATTGTTCAAGACTGGTGTTAAAAGAAAAAAGTCTTTAAAGAAACCAGAGAAAAACATGACATACAGAAAAACAAAGATAAAGATAACAGATTTCTCTAACATAATGATAATAAAAACAATGGAAGTGAGAAGACAGTGGAACAACATCTTTCAATACTGAAAGAATAAAACACTTTCAAACTATAATTCTATACCCAGGAAATAGCTTTCAAAAAGCAAGGTGAAATGAAGACTTTGTTTAACATATACAAGATGAAATAAATCATCACAAGTGGATGTGCAATAAAAGAAATATTAAAGGCAGTGCTTCAAACAGAAGGAAATTGATACCAGATGGAAATATGAATCAATACAATGAAAGAAAAGCACCGAGAATAGTAACTTCATGGATAAATCTATATGCCTTTTATTTCCTATTTAAAGCTTTAAATAATATAATTGACTTTAAAAATAATAGCAATGTATTGTAGGCTTTATAATAGGTAAAAGTAAAATGCATGACAAAGTATTGCAAGTTTCTTATGTTACAGGTAAAAGGATTAGATATAATATCACTTAAAATTAGATGGTGATAATGTAAAAATGTTTACTCAATCCTCAAGAAACCAGTGAAATATCAAAACAGGCATAGCTAATAAGAAAGGTAGGAAATAAAAATAAAACTATAAAATGATTTTTAATTAATTTCAAAAATAGCAGAAAAACTGGCAAAGGAAATAAATTGATGGAAAGAAATTGAAACCTAATAGCAAGATGGTAAATTTAAACATAACCACATCAATAATTGCACTAAATGTAAATGGCCCATATACTCGGACTAAATGATAAATATAAGAATGGAGAGAAAAGCAAGATGATCCTATATACTGATTACAGGAAGGACAGTTAAATAATAAAGACAAATATGTTTTAACATAATTCTTTTAGGGATTGAAAGTAATATACCATGCTAATACAGATTAAAAGAAAGCTTAGTGTGTTTATGAGTATCAAAGTGGATTTCTGAGTAACGTATTACCAGACATCAAAATGTTCATTTCATAATGACAAAATAGTTGACTTACACAAATATAAAAATATGTATCTAATAAAATCTTAAAAAAGCTAACTGAGCGTTAAATAAATTTAGCAAACTTGAAGGTTACAAAATCAATATACAAAAATCTATTTTTCTACACTAGCAATAAACATACAGAAAATTAAATGAAAATAATGTATTTACAATAACATCAGAAATATATAATACTTAGGTATAAATACAACAAAAGACATTCAAAACTTCTATACAGAAAACTGTATAACATTGCTTTTATAGTTTTATAACTGATAAAGTCATACATACTTGAAAACAATATAGGTTATTAGAGCTAGTGTAATATGTATATGTGATCTATAATACTTTAAATTCTTGTTCTACTTTTTCCAAAAGCAAAATATTTAATGAGGGAAATTAAAGAATGCCTAAATAAATGAAGATAAACCATATCCATGGGTTAGAAGACATCTCTCTCTCTCTGTTTATATATACCACACAAATATACATGCATATGTAGTCAATATAATACCAATCAAAATCTCAAGGGCTTTTTTTTTCCAAAAAAACTGACAAGCTGTTTCTAAAATTTATAGTGAAATGCAAAGAAGCAAAAACAGCCAAAATGACTCTAAAAAAAAGAAAACACAACAAACTTTGAAAACTAACACTACCTGATTTTAAAACTTATTATAAAGCCATAGTATTAAAAAATAGTTGGTATTGGTATAAATATAAATAAATAGATCAATGGAATATATTAGATGGTGCAGAAATAGACGCATACATATCACTTATTTCAGCAATGGTTAAGAGGTAATTCACTGCAGAAAGGATAGTGTTTTAAACAACCATTGCTGAAATAATTGGCCCTTTATATGCAAAAAAAACTGTACTTCAATCTCAATCTAGTCCATATAAAAATTTGCACACAATGGATCATAGTCCAAAGTGTAAAATTATACTAAAGTTATAAAACTTCTAGAAGTAAATGTAAAATGAAACATCTTAGGTCAAGCAACAATCTTTAGATTTTTAGATATGTCATCAAAAATATATTCCATAAGTAAATTAGACTTCATCAAAATTAAAATCTGTTCAATGACATAGTAAAGACAGTGTAAAAATGAGTCATGAAATGGATATAATGCTTTCAAGTTATATATATAACAAAGAATTTGTATCCTGGATTCATTAAGAACTCTCAAAATTCGATAGTAAGAGAAAAATAGCAACCAAAACATAACTTAGGCAAAATATTTGAACAGACACTTCATCAAAGAAGGTATACTTATGACACATAAATAAAGAAGGTACACTTACGACAAATAAGTTTTCAACAAGATGCTTAACATTATTAATCAATAGAGAAATGATGCTCAACATTATTAATCAATAGAGAAATGAAATGAAAACCACAATGAGACACTTGTTAAAATAGTTAAAATTATAAAGACTTACCACACCAAATGTTGGCAATGAAGTAGAAGAACTGGAAATATCATAAACTCCTGGTGGCAATGTAAAATGATCCAACTACTTTGAGAGTTGCCAGTTTCTTAAACTACTCTGAGAGTTGCCAGTTTCATATACATACAGTATTATCCAGTTGTTACACTCTAGTATTTTCCCATACAAATAGCCATAGCAATTTTATTTGTAGTATCAAAAACTAGAAAAAACCCAAATGTGCATCAACAGGTGAATGGATTAGCAAACTGTGGTATCTCCATATAACTTCTCAGCAATAAAAAACCATTGATATATGCTACAATAGGTATTCTGAGTGATTAATTCAAAGAAGAAATAATACATACTGTACAGTTCCAGTTATATGAAATTTTAGAACATGTAAACTAATCTACAGTGACAGAAAACATTAGTGGTTGCCTGGAGATGGGAGAGGGATAGGAAAAGTTGGGTGGGAGTGACTAAAGAATACTTTGTGGTTTATGAATATATTCATTATCTTGACTCTGGTGATGGTTCATGGTGTGTACAGATGTCAAAACTAATCAAATTGTATACTTTAAATACGTACAGTATATTGCACATTTTTAAATAAAGGAAACTGGAGAGCAAAAATCTCACAGGGAGTTATAGAAAGAGCCAGTATAATCATATTTATATGAGAACAGCAGAGGTTATTAGAGCTAATGTAATGCATATATGTGATCTATAATACTTGAAAGTCCTATACTACTTTTTCCAAAATCAAAGAATCACAGTTGCAGTTATTACTCCAGCTGGAGTATGAAAGACTTGCAGCTCAGATGCTGAAGGGGCCCCCCATAGCCATAATTACGTTTCCTATTTTGTACTCCTTAACAACAATGGATGTGGGATGAGAATTCATAAAATACTCCACTTACAACGTCTCAGTGCTCACAACTGTGACAAAACGTTGGTTATGAAGTTGAAGGCAAGGCTTCATTACTAGCTGAGACTCACCAGCTTACTGATAGTACATGAGATTCAAATCTGTGATGAAGCAAAACTTCAAGCCATCCCAAGTTATGAATGCCAGGGTTGCTTGAAAATTGTTCATTCTGAGTTTCAGCACTAATAAAAACTTCTTTTTCGAACAATCACAAGATTGTAGCTAGTGATTGTCCATCTCCACATGAACACCAATCTCTACACTTCTTGTTCCCTGACTGTAGTAAGCCATATGAAATCATGGCCCTCAAGACCCTGTGACATTATTTGCTGCTTGCTCATTACCTCTCTGACAGATAGCACACAATCCTAGATCCTTATGCCATTCATTTGTTTAAGCATTTAAAAAAGTTTTCTCCAACATTAGCATTTTGCCT